CAAATCAGTATAGTTAGTTGAAATTATTTATATATATAAATATACATATATATGTATATATATATTTATATATCTATATATATGCATCGCCATATAGCTCTATATAGTTGTATATATCGTTCTGTATCTGTATGTATATATATATATATATATATATATATATACATATATGTATATATATGTATTTATATAATATTATATATAATATTATATATACATGTATATATATATATATATATATACATGTCTGTGTCTATGTCTGGGTCTGTGTCTGTGTCTGTGTGGGTAGAGATGTATGCGCGTATGAACATGCGCCAAGACTGGCCCTAAACAACCCAATCTAGAAGGAGCTTTGATGACTACTCTGAGTGTACTAGAACAAACAGAAGATGACATCCGTGAATAGCATTAGCATCAGCTGGTGGATACAGGTGGACGTATCTGCAGTTGGTGCATGAGAGAATGACTTCACCACTTTAATATAGCTACGATAATAGCCAAAATCGATACTGTGCATATTCATGCTTACTACTTGGAGGAATTGAACATGATTGAATACTCAAATTGGGAACTGTACTGAAAGCTCAAAACTGATAACTCAGCAAAGTGCAAGCTCTTTAATAGCAAATAGCCAAACCTATGTTATAGAACACGACTATTTTAAGGGAACCAAAATGAGAAACTCATATCCTACGGTCATGTGTCAAACATCCGCCCACCAGTCTTAGTGGACACATATCGCGCGATATACTAGCAAGCAAGCAAGCAATCGGGTCAGCACAACAATTCACACCATACAAGCAGATCTTGTGGTCCTTGAAGGCAATCACGCTACATCCGATGGCATGCATCTGGGTACTAACAGATACAATACGGTTCCTCTGAAGGGTCAGGCAGTACACAACTAGTAGAAGATGAGATTCAGCTGTTACCTATTGTAATTCTGCCTCACTTTTTAATATACGTCTTCAACAACACGCGGGAGCCCCTTATGTACTGGAAGGATCTAGCAGACTATCAACAACTAAAAGCTGAGTGTAATTCAATTACACATCTAGCACCCAGGATTCATCTGGTGTGCTTGCTAGGGGTTGTTGAAGATTGGGCATTTACCTGGGTTCCGCTTGCCTCAGTGCGTTTCTGTGGCAATTGTAGCAACGCTGATGAACGAATATCTGTGTATACTGTCCAATTTACTAGCAAAGGCATCATTGGGGAAAGGGTGAATATTGTATTTTTTCCTTATTATTACCTTGATTTAGGTAGCTTACGACGGTCCATGTAGCCTCCCAAGCACCTTGTTTTCTCCTTACACACTTTGTCCTGGTAGCCGAGATTTCATTTCTGTAGTTTTTATATCACTTAGCGTAGAGCGTATGGTCAGTATCTGAACAACGTTGAAGATTGCGCTGAATCGACTGCTAACAATTACAATCAGACTATCATACTCAAGCAGCAATATCGGAGGATGTATCGAGGACGTTTGGTAATAGTTTTGAATTTTATTCATTCCGTATATATTAGTGGCGGTCATTTGGCACGTAGCGAGCTCGTTGTCGATTTGCTCCCTGTAATGTCTGCCAAGTGTGCAGAGAAGTTTGAAGATATAAGTTGTCTCCAATGGTTTTTTAAGACAGCAATACTGCGCATGCAGCACCTTCGATAATTTTCTGCCGGCTGGGCTATTGTGTGTTGTGTATATATTGAGTGCATATTATTCACCAGCAAACAGTGGCTACTAGGAACCACGGCCTCGCTTTTTTCCCCGGACAAAGAAATGTCTTCCGAGAAGAACTCATCGAAACGATCTGCTGTAACGTTTTAATCCTTACTATTCAAGGAAGGTTGAGAATCAGTTGTTCTATTATGCATTAACAAGTGACTTGCAAGCTGTTGGCGGGTTTGGAAATGCAAACTGCAGCCCCTTTGAGAACATGCCAGGCTACCCCCGTCACCCTGAAGCTGCAGGTGCTCTGCCACGTGCTGTTCGTGCTCGTTAGAAGTCTGGAAACGTCTATCACATCCATTCCAATTGCATATATATGGACTATTCTTAGTGTGCGTCCGTTGGTGGTCGTTGAGTGTGCTTTTTTGGCCAAATCGACGGTGGCATCCTACATATGTACACGCGTACGGTCGTTCGCCTGTATGCGTCCGCAGATGGTAATCTAATCCGTTGCCCTGTGTATACCTTTTATCACATCCCTCCCAGGGGCACGGGAATGGTTTCTCCCCGGTATGCGTGCGCAGATGATAGTCGAGCCCATTGCTTTGCGCATACCGCTTATCGCAGCCCTCTATTGGACAAGCATAGGGCTTCTCACCAGCGTGCGTTTTCAAATGGTAGCCAAGTCCATTACTGTGTGCATAACGCTTATCGCACCCTTTCCAAGAGCACAGGTAAGGCTTGTCCCCAGTGTGCTTCTTCCGATGGACTTCTAGTTCGTTGACATGTGCGAATTTTTTCTCACAACCGATCCACGTACAAGGATAGGGGTTCAGCCCTGAGTGCACCTTAAGGTGACTCAATAGTGTGTTCGCCTGAGCGTAAGTCTTAGCACACCCACTCCAAGTGCAAGCAAACGGTTTCTTGGCCAAGTGCGTTCGCAAATGATATTCCAGACTATTGTTCTGAGCATACCGCTTGTCACACCCCTCCCATTTGCAAACAAATGGCTTAAGGCTCACGTGCACACTGAGGTGTTCTGCTAAAAGATTGCCAGTGGGGAATGTCTCGCTGCAGTCTGGATAGCTGCACACGAACTCTCCGTCGCCAAAATCGTTCATACTTGCTTCTAAGTAAGTCATGACGGCCTCTGGATCGCTGTCATTAGGCATGTCGCCGACCGTACTGATCGATGCACCGTTCTGAATTGTGTGCTGATTTTCGATTTCTCCCGCACTTGAAGTGCTTTGCAGCTTTGTTCGTTTGCGCAAAGGCCGATACGCACTTACGCTAGAGGCTCCCACGCCCTCTTCAGTCCTCGCAACACGCGTATAACCCTTATTTCTGTATCCTGCTAGTTGCGGTCTCATATCATCGTTGTTGAATTGGTCTCGTGGATTCGATGAATGAGAACTTATAGCTTCGCTTCCAGATGGCCGCTTGTTTTGCGGTTGTTGCGATTGAGCAACCATCCCCTCGTCACCAGTTGGCCGGAACGCTAACTGCGGCTCCGGGGGGCCCGCGCATTTTGCGTAATGACCTTCTAGCCAATCTATGCTCTAAAATTTCAAACAAGAGGATAGAAAAAAAGAGATGATTTATAATAATTGATAATAGCCGATACACTGTGTTGCAAAGTCGAAGCATCGAGGCAAGATGACAAGCGATGAACTGAACAGGCGACTAAGTTGACACATCCAAGCAAAAAGAGTCGAAGGCAATTGATGCGAATTGTACAACTGTAGTCAACAAACATATGTTTTTTCTAAAGCTATCAGTACTCGGTGAGTTTCAATCGTACCTGGCATTCTCGACTGCAGAACGCACGATTCGTGCACGGACAGGCTATCTGCGCCGGTTGGTGGCAGAGGTCGCAAGTTTGCTGGGTTGCCGACATACTAATTCGTGACAACCTAACCTCGCATCCAAGCCAACGTAGTACTGGCTCGATGAATATAAAGCTATTCCCCTTGACGTGTCTCCCTTCTATGCCCGATACAAGAAGTCGCCGATGAGGTGAAGACTGCAGGAGCCAGCAGTGCACTACTAGAGTGTGGTCAATTAATTTTGTTTGTATGTCACGGCTGTTTTTCAAATACGTTACAAAATCGTCCTATATCTTTTATTGTGATATCGCTTTACAGAAAATTCATAGCCTTCTTCTGAATGTTGAATTCATAAGGCTATGGAATATTGGGGGGTTTTTTTCTATTTTATTACCACTTTTTGTTCGGGGGGTTTTTAAAAAAATATATAAAAACAAAAAACACACATTTGTAGCTTCCAGCTAAAAAATTTGACCTTTAGACTACAACCCCCCCCGGGCCCCAGGCCTCCTCCTGCGCTGACGACCTGAAAGCTGACGCTCCCTGAGAGTTCTTTTCTTCCCTACTCTCTCTCCACTGGTTTTTTTACTTGCCCAAAACCTGAAACCATTTCCGGTTTTGGGGAATGAGACTTTGGGTCAGTCAGTCATGCGTGGCTGTAGAGTCCCTATTTCTTTTATTGAACTTGAAATCTGTCTGGAATGCTTTTTCCCCATTTGTAGGCCCCTAAGAGGACCACGTGAGATTTTAAATGAAATTTTGTTTCAAAAAATAGAGCATACTTTTTTGGGTCCGTTATTGACGGTTGAAAATAAAAGTTGTTTTATTAAAAAAGGCGGGGAGGCATTTCCCCCCCTGTACGTTGGTGAGTGCGTTTATGTATGAGCGTGTGTGACTGAACAACAGTACGTATTTGTGACGTGTGTCGAGTGAAAGTGAGGGAGAAAGGGTCCATCAAGAAATCTCAGTATCTCACCCTCAGCTCACCTTCACAAGTCAATAGCTACCCTCTTAAGATATAAGCTTTTGGTCTCTTCGGCGCTCCAGTGGTGTTTCATATATATTTTATCACCGAAAGCGTAAGCTGGCAGTCCCTGGCACCTGTATGCTCGATTTTTGTCTGTCATATAACGCTAATTGAGCTATTTGATTGGCTAAGTCTCTCTCTTTAGCCCATTTGAAGACCCCAAGGATCCCTCCTGATCCCCAGAGGGATCCTAAATATATATATATATATATATATTAATTTTTTTAAAACAATCACGCCATAGCCTTCTTGATACACATGGCTATGATAAAGCTTTTTCTCTTTCAGTCCCCGCGGCGACCCAGCCCTGTTTTATGTGTTCTAGTTTTTGCTTTTTTTGTCTTTTAGTAAATAAACAATAAATTGTTTTTAAAAAAAACAAAACAAACAACGAATTGTTCAATTTTCAGAAGGCCATTTACATATGCGGGTTTTTAGAGTTCTATTTTCTATTTTTTTTATTATATGTTTTTAAAAGCAATATAAGTATAATGTATGTTTGTAAAATTGTAAATATTTTCATACATACAATCCTCTTTGTTTGTGATGAATGATAAATTTTGTTGTTTTAAAAAAAAACAGTTGTATGTATTGAAGTACGACTACACGTGCAATTGTGCATCGGGGGGTTTTTTTGAAAACAACAAAATTACATTTGCTTGTAGTGTACAAAAGTAAATATTTGTAATCTTGATCGACTCAGAATACAATGTAACGGTGAACCTAGTATTATTTCCTTCATAGTTGAATAAACGTCTACCTTAGCAGAATGAACTTCTTGAATGAACTAAACCACGTATTTATACTATCTCCGAAGAATATCAAATCGTGTATCTACTCAATTTCGAGCCTACAAGTCCATTCAACATATATCGTCATCTGCCAACCTCCAACTCATACTACCCCGCACTTCGGTTCGCAAAGCACCAATCATACACCAACCTCCTCTTCTTTCGAGCCTGCGCGGCCGTTCGCCAACAAACCGCACAATACAACTTAGAACTTTTCAAACTTATTAGTTTTCACACTTATAAGTTATCGCCCACACTTAGAAGTTCTCGCACTCTTATTAACGCCCAGGAACATTAACCGAACAGTTCGGTACTTACAACACCAACATTGTTTTAAATCGGAGGTAAACATGGTTGACATTACACTTCCCCAATGAACAAGACATTAGTGTCGAGTTCATTCATTCAACGATTTACTCGACTGCTTCTTCCGCAAAATCGGATCCCTCGCAACCTGGAAGAACATCTGCAACTTGTTCCACCTGTTCTTATTGAAGTGATGCTTCATTGCCAAATCCACAGTATCGTCTACCACGCCCTTACTCTCACATCGCTTCGCCGCTTCGACTATCGTATCAACATATTTACCAAAAACTAAATTCATGGCATATAACCAAGTCCACCCCACCTTTGTTGATCGCATTATTATCACCATTTCATTAAGTTATGTAACACTAGCTTCCCCTTCACTAGTATAATAGTAGAGCCAGATCAAACAAGCTTCCCTCCTACGTATTCTAATACTGGCCTCATGCTTCGGATCCTGTAACCTCGCCTTAAGCTGATCCACATGTACTGACATAACCTTCCCATTAATTCTGACCTTGTGCATCCCTTGTAAGTGTTCCCTCATAACAATCGTGCATCTCATTAAATAGGGGATCGCCAACTTACTATCCTTTGACCTACCAGGATATCAAACCAACTGCCCCGGCTGCCAATCTGGTACCTCTTGTATATTCTTGTCTGCCGCCTTTGCCTGTGCCTCCTTCGCTACTTCATCTTTAATGGCCACCGATCTATCCCGCAAAGCAGCTTCACTCAGAATCTAAGAACCTATCACCTCTAACAACTTCGCCAGAATTACTCTATCAACCTGCCCCGTATAATACCGGCTCGTAACATATTAGGGATAATAATATTTATTTCAAAAATGGCAAGTATGTATGATACAATGTATGGACATATGGTATGGCTACCATAGTCGCTGTAGTGGTTCAGGAAAATATGGGGTGATACCCGTGGCCGAATTCACTGTCGCATTGTACGCCAACATAACTGAATATATATATGCTGGCCATAAGGTTTCCTCCTCAACCGGCAAGCACTTAGCAAGCCAATCCACAATCGTACGCAAGACACTCTCTGCGCTACCATTGCCCTGATGCTTATCTACTGATACGTAATGGCATTCTACACCTCTCTCTGCCCAGAAACTTTTCATATCTGCTGAAGCAAACGGACCACCCTCATCCATCACTACCTTCTTAGGTGTACCTCAAGACAACACTTGTTGAACAAACTATAATACCCCTTTAGTATTCTTCTCTTCCAACATGTATGGCCGACACCACATCATCCTCGAAAATGATCTATGGCCACTACTATACCTTCAAAACCATAAACTGTCCTTGGCAAGGTCAAATGATCCATGACTATAAACATTGTAACCCCTTTCGGCCTCTCAGGCTGCATTAGCAACCCTGTAGTCCCACGAAGCCCCTCAACTTGTTGACACGCAACACAACTCTTCAAAACCTTCACAACCTGCGAACGCAACACTTCCTCTCCATACTTAACCTTCAAGAACTCCCATATCCTATCTACCTCAGCATGCGCTAAAGTCTGATGCACCAGCGTAATAACGTACTCTTGCAAAGGCTGAACAAGTTCTGACCATACACTTAGACCAAAACACTTAAGCTGTTTGCTAGCCATTACATCCGGATCCCACATCTTAGTTGCAGTAGCTTGCTGATACAATAAACCCACACAAACTTTGAAGTCGGCACTGACCTTGTCATCAAGAATCTCCTCCAACTCTCGCAGCTTCTCTTTAACCACCGCCAGCCGGACCCTCATATCTTCCACACTCTTGCAGACTTTATCAAATGACAAATCCACAACCTTCATCAGTCACACTCTTAAGCGGTGCGAAAACATAGCGCTTGATCTGATTGAGATCAAGGTCTGTGCATGACTGATATACTCTGTCAACTAAAGTTGCCAGCTTAGGTTGCGCGATCCCATGTCGCTTAGCATCTTTAAGTGCTTCTACTACGTTCTGGTACTTCAGCTTATGATATTACTTCAGCCAAGCAAGAATGTTTTTATCATTCTGCTCTTCCAGAATAAAGGTGATGAGAATCCACTTGCGTGGTCTCTAAGTCTGTAGTGTTTTCAGACTCCTGTCCTGTTTTTGCATGAGCGTCATAATCGCGCTCATGTGCGTTAGATACACCTGACTTATTAAATAGTCGCATTATATGTGTATACGCTTCAGGATTGTCTTTCATTAATCCTTTTAAAAATAAGATTTGAAAGACCTTGAGCTTGGACTTTATGTTATTGGACAGAGTCCTAGCTAGAGACTGACGCTTCTTAACAGTGTCATTATTGGATTGTATTTCCTGTGCACAGACGTTAAATGCTGTGTTGCCTTTGAACTGCTTAACAACCCTCAGTGGCTAGTAACTTCCGTACGGATTTATCAAAGTCCGGTACGAAGCGTGATAACATATCCGGTAAATGATTATGTATACCTGGCAGATGTTTTATATCAAAATGAAACTTTGATATTGTATCATGCCAGCGACTCAGTAATTGTGAGTCGGGGTTCATCTCTTTCATATATTGAAGATATTTCTGATCACACATCAGCGTAAATGCTGTTCCGTATAAGTATTCTGGGAAGTGTTTTAGAGCTGCCACTATGGCTAATAGCTCATGTTTAACAGTTGGATAATCCAACTGTGAAGCATTCATTGCTCGACTAAAGAATTGTATATATCTAGGTTTGTTATCTATAACCTGATATAATACTCCTCCTAAGGCTAAGTCTGATGCGTCCGTTGCTATTTCAAACGGCACGCCATCGACAGGCCCTTGTACAACTGGCGCTTGTTGGACTGCGTGTTTGAGCGCTTGAAATGCGTCATCACACTCTTTAGTCCACAAGTCTCCTAGTTTGCGTTTATGCCATCTTAAGTGTCCAAAAGGTTTAAGGTAGTCAGCTAAGTGTGGTACTTGAAAAGAATTTTACAACCCCACACATGCTGTTAACATCTCTTCCTGTAGTTGGTGTTCGCCAATCTAACAGGTGTTCTACCTTACCGGGGTCGATCTTAATACCTTCCCCAGTTATATCTCGTTAATTTTGAAGTTTTGCTCATTGAGTCTCTTAAGGACTCGTCTGACTAATGCGGCGTGTTCGCCTGTAGTCTTAGCAAAGATGACTATGTCATCTATA